AGACATGTTTTGAGATTTTGAATACCCACATAAATCATCCACCCTAGAGAAAGAATGTAGTAAAATATGTTAACCTTCGAAGTGTTCCATCTTTTTTTCTGAAAACCGTTCGACTGTTGTGGCGGAAGTTGTGAAAGGTATAGTGGGTATTTCTAAGCAGGTGCCCGATCTAGAGTATTTGGGGCTACTGGTTCCCAATGGGAGAATGCACAAAGGGAGGTTTGAATATTTGCCGACAAGTTTGAGTAAGAGGCTTCTTGACTGGAGTGAGCAGTCTATGTCTTCTGGTATAACAAGGAATTTTGATGACTTAACTCGAATGATGTGACAATATTGGCAGAGAGTGAAGAAAGGAACGAAGAAGATGACATGGCTCAACTGGGACACAATGATGCTTCCCAAGTCCAAAGGTGGCATGCATTTAATGTGGCACTTCTTGCTAAACAAGCTTGGTGTCTAATTGATGCCACACAAAATTAGTGTGCGCATATACTAGAAAAATATATTATCCAGATGGTAATCTTTTGGATATAATGTTGACTGAGAATTCATCTGTAGTGTGAAAAGGTATTGAATATGCTCTTGAGCTCCTAAAAAGGGTGTAATATGAAGGGTTGGGATTTGGGAACGGTGCTTCAATCAAAACATGGAGGGATGCATGGATTCCATGAGCCCCTCTTTCAGACCAATTACACCAAAATGCAATTGTGGACTTAATTATGTAGCTGGTTTTCTTAATGAGCATGGTGCATGGGATTTTCAATTGTTGAGTGAGCACTTCTGGTCAATGGGTATTCATGAAATACTTAAGATTTGAACTTTTCCTAGTCAGTTCCAAAATTTTGTTGTGTGGCAGCTGAAATGTAGTGGACAACTTTTTGTCTGTAGTGCTTACCAGCTTGCCATGGCCGAGCATGATGAGGAGTTTACGGGAGGTGTGTCGGGTCTTCATCTCGATGGTGACAAAAAGCTATGGAGCTTGATATGGCGAGTTGTGGTTTCGTATAAGATGAAAATTATGGCATGGAAAAGCATGTACTGGGGCATTGGCAACTTCAAAGGGTAAACAAACTCGTCGCCTATAGACTACTGCTAGCTGTTTCTTGTGTGGTGTCGAGGAAGAAACAACAATTACATGCGTTGGTTACATGCAAATCAAGAGAACATATGAAGAACCGTCTTCTCTCCCTCCTTAGGAAAAGGAGATCTAGGTAGAGGAGGTAGAAAATAATAGATACCGTCTATTCTATTAACTAGTCATCAAAAAGCAACCTATATCGAGGTCAAGTTTGATAGGGTGAAGTGGACTATTAGATCCTCGGCTTACCATTAGAAAGAAAGCTTAGCTGCCGACGTCAATGTGTTAAGCACATAGGATATATTCGGCGAAAGTCAGTAAGAAGTAGAGTGAATTCTGAAACTCCGGCATTTAGGCCCGGATAGAATGGGTCCTCAAGCTTAGAATCATTTGGCCTAACCTTTAAGAAAAGTCAGCATCTTTTCATCCGGGTCGTACTAAAGGCAGGTAGACCAAACATACGGCACCTGTCCCAATGACTGGTACACTGACGGTGGCTTATTGGTTCCTTCCTCCCTTCCATCCTCAAGTCTTACTTTCCTTGATGCCTTAGTTTACTTGATGCCCGATTCATTCCTCCCTATATTCAATCTCTCGTGCCATATTCTTTTTCAGGTTTGACATTACTTCCCTTTCCTATCTTTTTTACTTTTCTCAAGGACGTAAGATTCTTCAAAATCCCTTTCGCAGATCCCTTTGATTCTAGGTTCAGATCCATCTATCTCTTCTCTCCCTTTCTTTGAACCTTTGTTATTCCTTCACAAATAGGACAGGCATGTTTCCCTAGATGAGGGATACTCATCATTATTATGAATAGGTTACTCTATCAAAAACATTCTATCCAATTCCCGGAGTCATTCACTATCATAGTCAGTCTCACCTTCGCTTAGTTGAGGGATACTAACATCGCCATCTACACTGAGGAATATCTGGGATTTCTCAGGGTTCACGAGCATGCCCCCGCCACCACGTTCGATCACGAAAATAAATCCACTTAGATTTACGTGCCTTAAGATGTCTAGAATTTGTGGACGGTCAATATGATATGGGTCATGCCGTGTTGAAGCTAGAAGGACATTGGTGTCCCATCTTGTATAAAGAACACCTTCATACCGGCGTAGGACCTCCCTATCGAATTGATGTTGGAAAAAGAGATGTAGGAGCACGTCACTCAATTCACCTATCAATGGTATACAATTAGAATGAGGAATTTGAAGGTTAGTGTCGGCATTATATATCGGGAGAGATATAAATTCCTTTAAGATGTGGGAAATCACTCCCAGATTGTGTGGACACTTTAATGTATTCCATAGATGTTCCGTAGAAACATACCGGATATTGTGACTCAAATCCACACAGACTATTTTATCTACACCACTTTGACCATCCCAGAACCTCTCGTGGAAACCCAACATTTCATTATAATGAGTTAATCTAGGCGGAAGATTGTTTCTTATCACTAGAAACTCCCGCATTAAGATATTCGCTAATGCTTTCAAAAGTAGTACATTTGCTGAAAGGGATGGGGCAGCCATACAAGGCCAATCACCAGCATTTGATGAGTGGGCGCCTGGCACAACAATACCCAAGCTCATCTTGCCTTTCAAGAGTGAAATGTTCCTGCAAAGTCATACCACCCCTACCATATTTATAGGTTTTGTATACCAATTTGGGATGAAATGAAGAATAACCTTCGTGTATATGCGACACCATGGTATCGATTGATGCGGGTAAGAGGCCCCGCTCTCTCCACATATCATTCGAATTATAGAGTCTCCTGACCTCATTAATCAATTGAAGTTTCCTAAAACCACCATTATGAAATATCATAAGAAAAGTGACGTTAAGATTACTTCCGGATCCAATTCCATCCATTTTTGTTGAGGCAATTCTGACTTGTTCATCGGGAAGTGATCTAGCTCCTGAGATATATGACATTCTTTATCCTTATCTTTTCCTGGTCTTCACGGCTCGAATCTACAATCTACACCTCTCCAAACACAATATCTTGAGTACCTGGAGAAGTTCTATTTGTCTTCGAGCTTTTATTCCTCAATCCACTTATTCGTTCCCTTCTTTCATATACCTCCCCACCAATAGATAGAGACAAATGGGAATAACTGAACCACGTCTACAAAATGCCAGTACCATAAAGCTACTTCAAAGCCAACATGATGCTTCTTGGTCAGATGACCAAGATATTGGCGAATACCACGTACGATCAAGAAAAGAGTACCTATAATCACATGAAAACCATGAAAGCCAGTTGCTAAGGAAAAGGTAGAACCATAAATACTATCCGAAATAGTGGAGGGTGCTTGGTAATATTCCATTCCTTGAAAGCCAGTGGATACTAGAGCCAGTGAAACGGTTGCTACTAAAGCGTAAACTGCTCGTTTTTCCTTCCCCGCGAGTATAGCATGATGAGCCCAAGTTACGACAGCTCCGGATGAAGGGAGAATAGGGGTATTAAGAAGAGGGATTTCCCAAGGATCTAAAACCCCAATCCCTTTTGGGGGCCAAATACCTCCGATCTCTACCGTAGGTGCCAAAGAAGAATGAGAAGAAGCCCAAAAAAAGCAAAAAGGAACATAACCTCCGAGGCTATGAAGAGAATAGAACCATATCGAGGTCCTAATTGTACAGCTTTTGTATGATGCCCTTCCAACGTGGATTCACGTAGAACATCCCGCCACCATACGAACATGGTATAAAGGAGAAATATTAGGCCCAAACTGAGAAGTGTTGCACCCCCTTGAAATGAGTGCATGTACATCACACCTCCTACAGTGGTTGCCAAAGCTCCGAGTGAACCCGAAATAGGCCATGGACTGGATCTACCAAATGATAAGAATGCCTCTGAGATTCAATCATAAACCACTTTGCCCCGGTTGTATGTAAACCCCCCTTCACCCCCATCCCCTAAAGTGGTAAAGAAGGAGGCTCTTTTTTGTCTCATTAGGACAAACAAATAGGAAGGGATAGTTCTTTCATTGCATTGATAGAAGTGAGACTATCAAAAGATCTCTCTATTATTTAGAGAAAAGAGTTGGCGTGGGTTCTACCAACGAAACGAAGAAGTTTTTGATTGGATAAACAGCGTATAATGATAGACACTCCTATAAGGCACAACACGAAACTTGCATGTCCGTTGACACCGAAAGAGAAACTCGTCGACATGGGTATTGATTGCCTGCTATGCACTCTTGACAGTTTTTCATATGTGGCGCCGAACATGGTCATCTTGTTGGTTTGGCGCACTTGCCAGCTGAGAAATGATATGGCACATGGGGATGAGGTTCCTCCGGTGATGTCCTATGTTGACTTCTTATGGAGCGTAGAATCTCGACTTAGGAGATTATGAGGGGAAGATGTCAATGATGATTGATACGATGTGGCCGAGGCCGTTACTATCCCCAACACTCGTATGCCCGCGCCGCTGGCTAATTGGGCGACACTTTGAGTTGATGTGTCTTTTTTCTTAATCGGATGGCAAAAATGCTACAGGTATGGTTCTTCGATGCCGTGATAGAAGCGGGATTTTTGCTGTTTATAGATACATGTTCAACTATGATGATGCACTTGAGGGGAGATGCATGCAATAATGCAAGGTATGAAGCTGATCATACAATATACAGATCTTCGTGTTATTGTTCAGTCGGACTTGGCGCTGTCATTTTTTTGTTTTGACCGCTCGCCGTGTAGAACACAGACCACCTTGGCGAGGCGAGAATACCATCGACCATCACGCCAACGGACGGCGCCCGCCTCTCTCGTGACGTGCACCCGCAAATCTGGGCCGTCCATCCGCCCAACAACAAGAGGACGATCGCCTCTCCTCTCAGATCGTATCGGTATCGCACCCGCAGGCAGTCAGGCCCCACCCACAGACAGACGGACCTCTCCCCCCTTCTCGTCTCCCATGGCGGAAGCCGACGCCCAAACCCAGAGCAACGCGCAGTCCTCCTCGCCGCCGGCGGAGGCGTCGGGCGAGCCGATCCGGCCGCCCCAGGTCAGCACCCTTCTCCTCGTCCCTTCGATTTCACGCGTTCTTCTTTTCGTCCGTGCCCAGCGCGTGGAGCTGTGGCGTAGCGGGAGGGCGGGTCCTTGCCCCCACGGCGCTCAGATTCAGGGCGTGCTCGTGTTCTCGAGACGGAATTAGTGGGTTCCGAGGCGTGATTCCGTGGGGAAGGCTGGCGGTGCCCTGGGGAAATCTCCGCCCCTTTTGGGTCGTTCCGCCGGCGATCCGGTCAAGGTTTCGTTGCTGGCTTGCAGCTGATGCACGAGTTAAAGCTCGTTTTGGCCTTGTCTTTGTTGGATTTGACTCGCCCTGTGATAGTTTTAGCGCCTACCAGTACTATTGGGAACTCAAGATTCGAGGGAGCACTTTGTGCTGAATGCCTTAACCTGTCTTTATACACGCTGTTTTTGTTTTAAGTTTTGACAACATCATGTGTCTGTAGTATGCTGGCTTGTGGTGATATTTGACCTTGTTTCCGCGTGTTATAATGCAGGTAGGCGCTCCAAGTGCTGCTTCTCCCACGGTTCCACTCATGTACCCGATGCTCGTGCCAGGGATGTTCTCCCAGCAGGGTATGGATGATCAGGCTCAGGGTCCAGGGATATATGCCATACAGGAGAATCAGTTCATGGGGGCGATGGGAGGTTACGCTCCAAAGACATTCATACCGCTCGCTTACAATATACCAACGTGAGTTGCTTGCTCCTGACGGTAGTCATCTCTGTCGAAGTCATCATGTGATCATATAACCTCACAAGCGGCATGCTGTTGAATTTTTTTGAAACGGTTACGATGGGAATGTGCAATTAGTGATAAGTGGTTTGCAAGATCTATCTTGAGATCCATATGCTTAATCTGTTGACTTCCATACATGTTTTCAGAACAAAAGCAGATTTGTGCCAATAGAACAGAATAAAATTTCATGTTTAAGGGGGACAGTGGCTAGCTGAGAGATTCATGAAATGATTGAGCTTTGTTTAAGCATTGTTTAGTGCTCAACCCTGCCAATTCGGGCATGTACAAAAATATCCTCAGTTTTCATAAAGAATCGGAGGCAACGTGTAAACTTCAGGGTCTTTCTTATAGTACAGGTTCTATTCTGCTATAGCACATATAATGGTTTCACTGTAGAATAGACATAAGCCATAATAACATGACTCCCAAAATAGCGGACATCTTTTGCGTTAATTACAGTGGTGCTTTTCATAAATCATTAATTGCTTTAGAGTTTTAGCAGCATCGCAATATCCCATTTGCTCAAGTAAATTTACTTGAACCTTTCTTAAGTATTGCCTTTGAAGACACACCTGCATATACGAGAGGTTTCATGAAGATGAACTCTTTCGTTGATAGGTTGGCAAAGCCTATGCAGTTCTCAACTATGTTAAATTGTCTTCTTATCCTGATCCAGGGATATCTGTGACCAGTTAAAAGCACCTTGTATTCTCTTTACTTATTTCTTCCATTGTTTTCTGTTAAAAGTGAAAGCGTCGGGGCATTGGCTGGTGAAGAGCAAGGACAGGATGCTAGGCAGCAAAATGGCCCTCAAAGACAAGTTGTTGTGAGGAGGTTTCACTTTGCTTTTCAGCTTGACCTGGCTCTGATCATCAAGTTAGCAGCAGTGGTCTTTTTGTTTAGCCAAGAAGGATCAAAACAAAGGCTGTTTCTTCTCATATTGTTTGCGTCCATGATTTACCTGTGAGTTCTTGGCTTGTTTTGACTTCGATGCTTCATTGCTTGTTATATTCTTGTATAGCCTCTCTTTTGTTGCTAGATAACCATGGGGTTTCATTTCTTCCAGATATCAAACTGGAGCGATTACACCTTTCTTAAGATGGCTCCAGCGGGCAGGAGGTGTGGCCGCTCGTCCGCCACAGGCTCCTGCTAACCGTGCTCCTGTGGCTGCTCAGAATGATGGCAACGATCAACCACCTGGTAGTCATCCTTTACTCTCCATAAGCTGCCACTATGCACTTTATGTGTTGTATTTCAAATACCAGATCCACTCCTGTGAATCTCTAAACACAACCATAATATTATAATTATCCTTTTCACCACTATCACTTCAGTGGAGGTTGATACTTGTTTCTATATGGTTTGCAAGGCAGAAAGTTTCCTAGCACTTGCATGAACTAAAGTTGTATAAATATCACAAAGTGGCCATCGGTAGCACCAATAAATAGGACGGATGTGGAAGTTATCTTGTCATGCAGCCCCCTTGGCTCATGAAATGATATTTCTTGCTGCAATATGTTAGATATTCTCTGATTGTCAGGCATTTACTCCAGTTACTAATATCTTTATTATAACAAGGGGCACCAATGATCGATATATGTTTCATTTAGTTGGCAGTATCGATGTAATTAATTCGTATATCAATTCACTGTCTGCATCTCAGGTGGAAACCTCGCAGATCCTGCAAACCCTGACCAAGCCGCGGAGAACCAGGAACCAGGAGCAGCAGCGGGCAACGAGAACCAGCCAGGTGCAGAGGGAGAAGCAAACCGGCGCAGCTGGCTCGGCGGCATCTTGAAAGAGGTCCAGCTGGTCGTTGTAGGGTTCGTCGCGTCGCTTCTTCCTGGTTTTCAGCACAATGACTAGGTGAAAGTCTTCCCGTGGCGGAATCGAATATTGGCACCGTAACTGTTTGTTGTGACATAGGGAGGAGGAACAAGCAAAGGATATATATAAAGCGGGTTGAAATAAGACTTTTGTTGCATATGCTTGTTATAAGATTGACTGAATGCAGTGCTGTTGTACATCTTGTTTCCGTTTCAAGTGCTCTAGTTCTCTTTGATCTTTCATCTGGTATATGAAGTATGAACTTCTTGAACCTACGGGCATCCGTGGCGCAGCTATCGTCACTCAAAGAACATGTAAGTAATTCATTTTTTATTATATGGTGAATGAAGATTACAGATATGAGTTCCGGAGCGTTGTACTTGTGGTATGCATTTACGATCTTCATTTTATGAGTTGCAACCTATCTATGACAAAATTGCAAGTTGCACCTGAAATCTGGTGATGGTGGATGATGGTTTTTTGTCCTTTAACGACGGTCCATGCTCTGTGACGCTATATGGTAGGAGTACTTTGCTAAGAACTCATTTCACTTTGGAATTATCGCCTGCCATTGACTCTTCGATCCGTCCATGTTCTCTTAAGCTAGTTTTGCACGAAGAGTTAACATCACACATGACAGGCATGCTGACTTTGCTTCCTTAGGGCAACTTCAACGTGCCGACGCATTTTATCCGTGCTCGTTTGTTTGGTTTAAAATGGACACAAATCGCGGCCCAAAACACACCGACACAAATGGATGAGCATTCGTTTTTTGTCCGCCTGCGACGCATTTCAGGCCTAAATTTTGGCCGGGTTTGTGACGGCGCGGACGCACGCAACGCCCGCCCTTATCCTTCCCCTGGACTGTCATTCGGTGGCACATTGACCATTCTTTCCCTCTCCTATCCACAACCACAGCCAAGACACCCGGCCACCCGCCCTTGCAGTTGTCGTCCAGTTCCAGCCGGACGCTACCCAGGCCGTCGCTCGTACGCACACACCTCCCCCAACCGCACACCTCACCTGATATGCCTGCAAGTTGTTCGACGTTTTGCCCACAAGGTACAAATGGATAGTGGAGATGAGTACTTTTTCAACAACTTTATTTGCTTTTCAGACGACTCGTCGTTGGACATTAGTGACCACATTGCTAGGCAACAGTCGATGTTTAGGGGCTCGATCCCAAGCCATGCTCCGGCGTTGAATCGCAACAGAGAGAGGCCATTGCCTACTCTGGGAAGACTACTTCAAGTCCACCTCCCCACTCTTCAAACACAAGTTATTCCGGCGCCACTTCCGGATGGTTAGACATATGTATAATCGTATTCGGGGGGGAGTGGTGACGCATGATGATTATTTCGTATGCAAGGAGGATGCCCCTGGGAAAGGTTGTCTTCTCCTCTTATCAGAAATGCACTACAAATGGATGCTTGCATATGGAATACATGGTGATCTTATTGATGAGTATGTCTGCATGAGTGAGTCCACGTGCCTAGAATCCATGTACAGGTTCTGCAAGCTATCGTAACAGTGTTTGGCCTAGAGTACTTGATACTTGAGAGAGCCAACTACTGCAGATATAACCCGGTTGTTGGCGATCAATGCAGATAGGGGCTTTCCGGGGATGCTTAGCAGCATAGATTGTATGCACTTAATGTGAAAAACTGTTCATATGCTTGGCAGGGGAAGTAAAGGGCCATCTGAAAGCTTGCACTGTCATACTTGAGGCCGTGGCTTCACAAGATCTCTGGATTTGGCACTTTTTTTAGCATGGCCGACTCCCACAATGACATCAACATGCTGCGACATTCTTCGGTGTTCAGAGGGCTTGCAGAATACAACTGCCCAAAGGTCAATATTGAGATATGTGGCCACCAGTACAATAAATGATACTACCTAGCTGATGTATCTATCCTCGACGGACAACTCTTGTGAAAACAATCTCCACCCTAGTTGGAGGGAAGAGGGTTCGGTTTGCTCAAGCACAAGAGAGTACTAGGAAGGACGTGGAGTGTGCTTTTGGTGTTCTTCAATCTTGATGTGGCATCGTGTTGGGTTTCGTAGTAATTTCAAAAAAATTCCTACGTACACGCAAGATCATGGTGATGCATAGCAACGAGAGGGGGAGAGTGTGATCTACGTACCCTTGTAGATCGACAACGGAAGCGCTAACTTGGTTGATGTAGTCGTACGTCTCCACGGCCCGACCGATCAAGCACCGAAACTATGGCACCTCCGAGTTCTAGCACACGTTCAGCTCGATGACGATCCCCGGACTCTGATCCAGCAAAGTGTCGGGGAAGAGTTCCGTCAGCACGACGGCGTGGTGACGATCTTGATGTACTACCGTCGCAGGGCTTCGCCTAAGCACCGCTACAATATTATCGAGGACTATGGTGGAAGGGGGCACCGCACACGGCTAAGAATATGATCACGTGGATCAACTTGTGACTAGGGGTGCCCCTTGCCTCCGTATATAAAGGATCCAGGGGGGTGCGGCCGGCCCTGGTAGGAGGCGCGCAGGAGGAGTCCTACTCCTACCGGGAGTAGGACTCCCCTCCCTTTCCTTGTCCAAGTAGGAGAGGAGGAAGGAGAGAAGGAAAGGGGGGGGCGCTGCCCCTCCCTCCTTGTCCAATTCGGACTAGGGGGAGAGGGGGCGTGCGGCCTGCCCTGGCAGCCCCTCCTCTTCTCCACTTTAGGCCCATGAGGCCCATTAACCCCCCGGGGGGTTCCGGTAACCCCCCGGTGCTCCGGTTTTATCCGAAACTTCCCCGGAACACTTCCGGTGTCCGAATATAGCCGTCCAATATATCAATCTTTATGTCTCGACCATTTCGAGACTCCTCGTTATGTCCGTGATCACATCCAGGACTCTGAACTAACTTCGGTACATCAAAACTCATAAACTCATAATATAACTGTTATCGAAACCTTAAGCGTGCGGACCCTACGGGTTCGAGAACAATGTAGACATGACCGAGACACGTCTCCGATCAATAACCAATAGCAGAACCTGGATGCTCATATTGGCTCCTACATATTCTACGAAGATCTTTTATCGGTCAGACCGCATAACAACATACTTGTTCCCTTTGTCATCGGTATGTTACTTGCCCGATATTCGATCGTCGGTATCCCATACCTAGTTCAATCTCGTTACCGGCAAGTCTCTTTACTCGTTCCGTAATACATCATCTCACAACTAACTTATTAGTTGCAATGCTTGCAAGGCTTATGTGATGTGCATTACCGAGAGGGCCCAGAGATACCTCTCCGACAATCAGAGTGACAAATCCTAATCTCGAAATACGCCAACCCAACATGTACCTTTGGAGACACCTGTAGAGCTCCTTTATAATCACCCAGTTACGTTGTGACGTTTGGTAGCACACAAAGTGTTCCTCCGGCAAACGGGAGTTGCATAATCTCATAGTCATAGGAACATGTATAAGTCATGAAGAAAGCAATAGCAACATACTAAACGATCGGGTGCTAAGCTAATAGAATGGGTCATGTCAATCAGATCATTCATCTAATGATGTGATCCTGTTAATCAAATGACAACTCTTTGTCCATGGTTAGGAAACATAACCATCTTTGATTAACAAGCTAGTCTAGTAGAGGCATACTAGTGACACTCTATTTGTTTATGTATTCACACATGTATTATGTTTCCGGTTAATACAATTCTAGCATGAATAATAAACTTTTATCATGATATATAAGGAAATAAATAATAACTTTATTATTGCCTCTAGGGCATATTTCCTTCAGTCTCCCACTTGCACTAGAGTTAATAATCTAGATTACAGAGTAATGATTCTAACACCCATGGAGCCTTGGTGCTGATCATGTTTTGCTCGTGGAAGAGGCTTAGTCAACGGGTCTGCTACATTCAGATCCGTATGTATCTTGCAAATCTCTATGTCTCCCACCTGGACTAGATCCCGGATGGAATTGAAGCGTCTCTTGATGTGCTTGGTTTTCTTGTGAAATCTGGATTCCTTTGCCAAGGCAATTGCACCAGTATTGTCACAAAAGATTTTCATTGGACCCGACGCACTAGGTATGACACCTAGATCGGATATGAACTCCTTCATCCAGACTCCTTCATTCGCTGCTTCCGAAGCAGATATGTATTCTGCTTCACACGTAGATCCCGCCACGACGCTCTGTTTAGAACTGCACCAACTGACACTCCACCGTTTAATGTAAACACGTATCTGGTTTGCGATTTAGAATCGTCCGGATCAGTGTCAAAGCTTGCATCAACGTAACCGTTTACGATGAGCTCTTTGTCACCTCCATATACGAGAAACATATCCTTAGTCCTTTTCAAGTACTTCAGGATGTTCTTGACCGATGTCCAGTGATACACTCCTGGATTACTTTGGTACCTCCCTGCTAGACTTATAGCAAGGCACACATCAGGTCTGGTACACAGCATTGCATACATGATAGAGCCTATGGCTGACGCATAGGGAACATCTTTCATTTTCTCTCTATCTTCTGCAGTGGTCGGGTATTGAGTCTGACTCAACTTCACACCTTGTAACACAGGCAAGAACCCTTTCTTTGCTTGATTCATTTTGAACTTCTTCAAAATCTTGTCAAGGTATGTGCTTTGTGAAAGTCCAATTAAGCGTCTTGATCTATCTCTATAGATCTTTATGCCTAATATGTAAGCAGCTTCACCGAGGTCTTTCATTGAAAAACTTTTATTCAAGTATCCTTTTATGCTATCCAGAAATTCTGTATCATTTCCAATCAGTAATATGTCATCCACATATAATATCAGAAATGTTACAGAGCTCCCACTCACTTTCTTGTAAATACAGGCTTCTCCAAAGGTCTGTATAAAACCAAATGCTTTGATCACACTATCAAAGCGTTTATTCCAACTCCGAGAGGCTTGCACCAGTCCATAAATGGATCGCTGGAGCTTGCACACTTTGTTAGCTCCCTTTAGATCGACAAAACCTTCCGGTTGCATCATATACAACTCTTCTTCCAGAAATCCATTCAGGAATGCAGTTTTG